GGGTTCAGATGGGCTGTTTGACAATCTTTTTGATCGTGAAATCGTTTCAACATTGTCCATACACAGTGATGTTGTCAACGCTGGTATGTGTTTCTCGCCACTGTTGTCTGTTAGATGACTATCATCTTCTTCTAGTGGATGCTAAATTACACAATGTTCTCTGCTTCTATTCTTTGACGCTAGCAAAGGCATTGGCTAACCTGGCAAGCAATCATTCCAAGGATTCAAGCATCGATTCTCCCTACTCACTGGAGGCCAGATCCAAGGTCAAACTATTTGTGAGAATCAGTTAAAAGTGGCACCACACTCATGCCTCACTGTAATGAACGTCAACATGTTCTGTTACTGGTTTTCCTTTACAGGGTTTTGATGTTCCTTTCTGGAAGAAAATTCTCGGGATGAAGCTAACAGGCCTGGTTTTCTTTCAGTATTCCTGTGATAATGATTCCATTTCTGTTTAGCCGTATTTGACCTGATTTCCATTTTGGTGTGATTAATTTTTTGAGCAGGTGGAAAGGTTGATGATATCACTGTGATCGTGGGTCAGGTTGTAACCTCACCAAGCACCTGTATCTTGGATGAGATTCCCAAAACAGAGGAGGTACAGGGAACAGAAGGGTTTTGGAGCACGTAAGACTTGGACTATTCATGCTCGAGGAGCATTCTCCATTACTTTGTTCACCATTTTTACACTAAACATTCTGCTGAAGCTCAATAGGAGAGAAGAGAAAGACAAAATACACTGAACAATTTGTAATCAATTCTAGAATTTAATTGGATTCCGTCCGAATATTCCTCTTCAATGGCAGGCTGGAGCTTTTCCGTGCTCCCATCACAAAACACCGCTGAGAGTAGAAAAATCAGAACAATAGAACCGAGTACGCAGTGACCACAATTAAAGTGGTCAACAAACTGTTGCAATAATCCTTGAACATTGCATTAAGGAACAACATTTTCAATACTCGAATCTTTGGGGTAAAAAGTCAAAACTTTCTGATGTAATTATACCTTACATTGTCATGGAAACTAAAACCAAAAAATTATCACAGATGACAATTCGATAGGGTCTTGGCTAGGAAATGACTCGATATTTATTATTATTCAATTGGTCGTAACAAATGAAAATGTGTACACTCTATTGTGAAAGTTAAATAGACTGCTGCCATGCCTGATAGTAATGTGTTGCTTACCCATCCCTCGTGTGAAGCAAAACCTTTCCACCATTGCTTGAGGTGTTGGTCATGCAGCTGCAAAACACAATGGTCGCAATTCCGTATGGTACTTCAGTTGACAGTGCCACTTTTGGTGCTATCATTGAGTTCTTGGAAGAAAGATTTTCCGGCTTCATATGTAGACCAGCAGATTGCAGCAGCAGGAGCATGGAAAAGCATTCGAGGAATCCATCCCCTCATGAGGCCCCTGTAGCCATCCTTTTGCACTATTGTTTTAATCACCTCGCTAATAGAACTACTCTTAAATCTATCACATCCGCACACACCCTGTAATACAATTTTTAATAACAACACTACAACAATCAGGGAAGCTAGATGCATAATAAATCGAAGTAAATAATCAGCTCATTAAGTATAAACATGCCTTAAAGGATGTGAACTAACATATATGTATATCATCTTTTGTCCAAACCCACCAATGGTGAAATTATAAGCAACGCAGGATGGACCAAAATAAAGACATTATGAGCAAGCACTTAAACACACAAGTATCAAATAGATGGAAAGTATGCAGATGACATTAACCAAGCTTCAGTATAATACTGCAAACATTCAGTTCAAGAAAAATAGATTATCTCCACCATCTGTGGTTGTGTTAAAGGAGTAGCTGCAGCAGGAGAAAAATAACGACAATACCTTCAACAGCCAGAAACTAAACTACGGAAGTAAAAAAGCAAATACAGAACAAGAAACAGGTTTACTGTCAGTGTACGCTGCTCTCAAGGCAATCAAATTAATGGTGTTGCAGTCACCAAGACATTGCATATTCTTACTCATTGTATTATCTTCAAGAAATTAGTTCATTTAACTAAATACAAAATGACACAGCAGACGAAGTAATGGAAATTTAGGAAAAGAAAAATGAAATGGTGAAGATGATTGTTAATGAAAACCATCCAAGTCATTTAAGCTATAGTTTTGGATCTATCCAAGAATACTCAACAAATACTCAGGTGGTGAATAACAAAATTGTCAAAGATTGATCCTTGTTTTCTGAAAGGGACAGTAGCAAAAAATTTTAAATGATACTCCTGAAAGATTTGAGCTAAAATGAAAAATAGCGTTACATCATCTGTCTGGAAGCATAGACGAGAGAGCATTTGTAAGCTTTCGATTGGATAACAAGGATTAACAATGTTCACAAGGAGAACAATAGGATGAGGGCCCTTTTGGTATCAATTCAAACAAATGTTTATAATGACAGGATATGTCTATCCAAGCAAAACACAGATGTAGGCGAAACACAAC